ACAGACTCAATATGAGGGTGAAAGTTCACCTTAAAGCAAACTTGATATAGAGCATGAATTCTCAATGGGAGCAATATCACAGCCCCAAGGGGGCAAAAGTTGGTGGAAACTTTTTTGGGGGTGGAAAGCCTTTTTTTTTAAAGGTGGATAGAGCACAGGTGTGCATGCAACACATAAGCTGACACTACATGGCATTTAAATTTCATGGAGGGTGAAGAGAGATTTTGGAGGAGGAAATGTCTAAAAAGTTTTCTTAAGTGTGATAATGAAAAAAAAATTGAGAAACTGAACTAGAGGGAGAGAAAGCTCCATTCTGAACAGGAGAAATCTGCTTCCCAGAGCAGCAGCCTGTCCAAGCAGAGGTCAAACTGACTGGGAGACCCTGGCCATGCAACTTGACTTTCTGGGTTTCAGTTTCTCCTCGACAAACCATAGAAAACAGGGGCCTCATCGGTGGTGCAAGGGGTTAAGATGCAGCACTCTGAAGCTATCTACAGCTACTGCAGCACGAGTTTGACCCCCAGCCAGGGAGCTACCCACATGGCGCGGCAGACCTCTCCTGACTTGCCCACTGCTCCCCACAGCAGTGTATTTTAGTAGATCCGCCTGTTCTGCTCCCCACTCTGTCTCACCCACCGCACCTCTGGCCTGTAACCCGGTTCTTGTATGCATAAATAAATAAATCTTTTTTAAAAAACCCATAGAAAACAATACCTAATATTCAGAGTTGTTGCTAAAGATCAGATGAAACACTGACAATGTTTCTGCTGCGTAACAGACCAGGATTTCGTAGTAAATGGTGAAGGAGATGAATTTGAGTTGGACTTTAAAGGAAAGATGGTGACTGACAGGAGAGGGAAGTGCATTTTGGACAAGAGACATGAGTTGACCAAAAGTTGGAAAGAGGTGGAAAAATGTGTTACAATTTAATAGACTGATCCAGCTAGAGAGCTAGAAGCTATGGGGTTAGGAGATCAAGATAAAAATAAGTAATAGCTAGTAGCAGTTTGAATTCAAGGAGAAACAGTCCATGTCTTTATTTTTAAATTTTATTTATATTGAACACATTTGTTAAGCATCTACTATGTCCCAGGGCTGTTGTATACAGAACTGAAAATGACAGGAGTCAGTCAGATTCCTGTGTACAACATCACACATGTGCAAAAACAATCATGTCATTTCAGGGCCTCCCTGGTGGTGCAAGGAGTTGAGCACTGCACTATGAAGCTACCTGCAGCCTCTGAAGCATGAGTTTGATCCCTGGGCGGCCAGGGAGAAACCTACATAGCGAGGCAGACCTCTCCTGTCTTGTCCGCTGCACCCCTCAGCAGGGTATTTCGGTCGATCTGCCTGTTCAGTTCCCCACTCTGTCTGTGGTGAATCTGCCCACCTCCGACATCTCTGGCCTGTACCCCAGCTCTGGTATGCATAAATAAATAAATCTTTTAAAAAAACAATCATATCATTTCAGTGTAATTCACATATTTCTGGGAAAAGAGGGATATTGAGGGGCGGTTTCCAGAGGAGGTGATATTTAAGCAGGGCTTTGACATGTGGGAAGTGATGATGGTAGAAGTGAGAGAGAACTTCAGGTTGAAGGGGACAGTTCCAAGCATGGCATAGACACATGATATGCCGCATCGGGAGCGTGATGGGACAAGGACTGGAAAATTAGACACGGGCCTGAGTGCAACAGGAAGCAGCCTGCATGACAGTAAACAGTTCAGGCTTTGTCTTCTGCATTTTACCCAAGAACAAATCTGGGAGAAGATTGTTCTGGGGAGCAGCAGGGAGGGGGGGAAAGTGGGAGCAGAAGAGGAACCTGGATAGACCATCCCAGCAGGTGGCCAGGACAGAGCACACAGTCCTGAGTGATGAAGGGAGGTGGGGCATGGGTGGGTTGTCTGCTTGGGGGTGAGTTTACAATGCCTGGCCAGCGAGCTTATGATCAGTCCACCTGTGGTCCTACTAACCCAGCACCAGAGTGGCACCTCTCCTGGTCACCTGTTTTACTGGGTATCTCACTGTGTCTTCTACTCCCAGAGTTAAGACTGGGGCTCCTGAATCTACACACTTCCTCATTGCCTGGTGCCAAAATCTAAAATTTACTAGTGGCTAATTGACAGAGGAAGCTGTGGAACAAACTCTGAAGGGTCAACCTACTGGCTTGGGTGTCTCTTGGGCCCTCGGACAGGACCAGGCAAGGGTCCAGCTAGAGCAGGGGTGGCGGCTTTGGAGTTGTCAGAGCCCATTGTCCCGAGACGCCTCAGTGTTCCCACAGTGAGATGCCTGGAGCTAATCGGGCCTCAGATCCAGGGCTGCACCACTGATGAGCCAGCTCCACTGAGTGTTGTGGGGCCATATGCAGTAGGGTCAGCTGTTCTTAGAATTGGAAAGAACAAATGTGCTAGCACTTTCGTGCCATTTAATCTGTGTGACTTTGGGTCACACATCTCCTATCTCTCGGCCTTCACGATTCAAATGAGGACAAGAAACCTTAACCTCTCCACCCTATGGTGCTGCTGACGAAGAAGAGGTAGATAGCAGTTATCAGAGGTGCCTCCCGCAAAGCAGAGCCTGCTCTTCACCATGGCCCATGCGTGGTACTTTAATGTTTTGGGTGACACTGCAGCTGCTGCCCTGCGGACCGCACCTGGTGGAAGCAAGACGATTAAGGGAAAGAATCCCGGCTGCCTGCGCCACAAGTCTCATTAGTCACACTAAGAGGGGGTGGGAGGTGAACACTTTGTGGGCACAGCAACTACTTTCTCTCCCTTTCTATAATGATGCCCAGGGACTGGGCTGCCCAGTGCCTCTCACCCCTGGGCGGTGGGGTCCCTGAGATGTCAGGAAAGAGTACGGAACTAAACCTCCCATTTCTGGCCTTTCCATTCTCGAGACAGGAGGCCCAGCAGGAAGGACAGAGCAGGGGCTCCAAGCTTGGAAACCGAGACACCCAACAACACAAGTGTTCCCAACAGCCTGGGGACCCTCAATTGTTTTCCTTCCTGATGAGGAAAACCATCACACTGACTTGAAGTGGCTTCCTCTAAATGAACAGAGACAGTTTCACTAAAAATGTTCTCCAAATGAAGTAACGAATCTGAAGGTAGCCTGCCAGACCCTCGTCCCCACCATCTGACACCCTCGTGCGGGCACCTCTTCACACATGGAGGCCAACTTGCTACCATTCATGCACTCATTCCACACGCAAGGGGAGAGCACTTGCCCAGCCCTGTGCTGGAAGAGGGGGGAACCAAGGCACAGTGCTTGGCATCAGGAGCTCATCATCTGGCAAAAAAGACAGACACAGAAGCAAATGATTACAATGTGATAAATGAAATCATGGAGGTCCTTCCCCCGTGGCCGGGAGCTCCGGGGCAAGCGCGATACCGTCTGCAGTGCCAGGAAGGCCTGATGGGCGGTGATATCAGGGGTGGGGTTTGAAAAAGAGTGGCAATGTCCCCGAAAGAGAAGACAGGTTTACGCCAAGCAAAAAGAGGTTAGAGCGCCAGGGTTGTGAACAGGCTGAGGGGTTTGAGGAAGCAGCGAGAAGCTGAGGGGTGCAAGGACACAGCAGACAGTAAACTGGCAGGTTTGCTGATGCTTGACTGTCAGGGTTGGAAGCTGGGGTTTTATCTAGTCTTCTGTAGAAAGCCATATGATTTCAGGAGCAGATAAGAGAGAGGGCACAGACCAGATCTGAGTTTCAGGAAAAAGACCAAGGGCAGCGGTGAGGGCAGATTGAAATGAGAAAAACTGTGCTGGCAGCCAGCTTGAGGAAGGTTGGAGAATCCCTTGGGTGACCAGGTTCTGAACTAGGGCCTTAGGTGCGCCCTTTACTTGCTCAGTCTCCCCTGGGTCACACTCTCTGACGAGAGGTCGCACGTGTGCTCTGTGCACAATCCTGCTGCCAGGTGTTTTCCCAGGGCAGTTCATTCATCCCCCGACAACCCCAACAGGCAGAGATCATTGCCCCATTTTACAGAAGAGAAAACTCAGGCTCCGGGGCGTGACCTTGGGGAAGATCATGCAGCTGGTAAGAAAGAGCCAGGTCAGAATGACTCCGTGTGTCCTATGCTTACCCACAGCGCCAAAACGGGGGAAGGGGTGGCCACAGAAAGCTAGGTTTTCAGGACTTAAAACAGCTTGTATCAACTTTACAACTTGACTGTGAAGAAGGAAAGTTCCACAAATTCTTGACTTTTCTCTGATGAGGTGTTTTTCATAGGAAATACCAAATGCTCCCCGTTACCTCTCTCGCAGACTGTTTCACTCTGCAGGTGTTGGTCACTAGCCTTTGGAATCCAAAGCACTGGCTTGGCAAGTCTCCTTGAAGGCCCTGCTCCCTGCAGCCCACTCTCCCACCTCCACCTCGCAGCCTCTGAGCACAGCGCAAGAACTTTGGAAATGTTTTAGAAGCTGATATCACTTGGAGCTGAGTTTCACTCTTGGTCCAACTCAAGGCTGACAAGATGGGAGCTCTTTCTCTGAGGCAGAAGCAAGTGAGAAATCAGCCAACCACTCCCAAGCACCATGGAGGCAGAGGTTCCAGAAGCAAGGCGTGTTCCACTCTTGGCTGCTAGACTTGTAGAAGTCGTGTCAGATGAGAGGCCGGCACTTGAGATTAATCACACCCTGGACTACTCAGAACTTTTATAAACTGTTTCATGAAGAAGCCAGGCAAATAGGAAGTGACATTCTTTCTCATCTTGTCTTGACAAAAATCCACCTTGGATCCTGTTCCTACTGTCTAAATCCACAAGCATTTCCTGCGGCAGCTGTGTATGCTCCACAATGAAAAAAGCAGTTAAGTCCTTCCAGGCTAAGGGGTTTGAAGGCTTCCTGAGACCTACCTCCCGGCAAGGCAGAAGCCATGGCAGCGTGCGGGAGAGCGCTAGAAGCTCCAGGAGCCAGCAGGGGCGAGCCCAGGGCTTCCTGGACTCCATGGTGGGGACAGTTTGCAGGGCACAGACAAGGCCATACACAGAGGTCATAAAACAAAATTTATCTTTAATTTGTAAGTGTCAACAGCAGTACAAAAGATGGAGTGATGACGACTAGATTAAGGGTAGAGAGGACAGTCTTGAGGTAAATGAGCATAAATAGGCAGTTCTTATAGACACTCCCCTGAGGGGCCCACGCCCCATCATGGCATATACATTATCACCCAAAGATGGCAGGTTTAACATATCAGGAAAGCACCTTGTGCAAAAAGGAAAAAAAAAGTAGCTAAGGTGCCAACATACACCAGGATAGATAAAGACAGTGTGTCTTTCAGTTTTGTCTTTTCCCTTAATTATGAGGCAGAGGAGGGGAAGACTTTGAAAAGTACCACTGAAAGATTATTCAATGTTGCGTTTTATCTCACGTCAATACTGCACAAGAAAATCCAAGAAGTTCGTGTATGCAACACAGCTCAGAGCGGTGATTCATTCCTTGGAATTTGAAGAGATCCTTTTTTTCCCCATTTCTTTCATCCTTAGCAAACTTTTTTTTCTTGTTATCAAGAGGAGAGTGTGAGAAAGATGTGATGGCAACCCTTAAGGTCATTTAAAAACTTTACACTGGACTGTACAAGATTTTTTTTTTTGATAAACTATTTACATTTTCAGACTTTCAAACATATTCAAAGCAGCAATAGACACTAGTTTTTATGGTTTTTGTTTTTGTTTTTTTTTCTAATTGACCAAATAGTTACCAGCCATGGGCCAAGTAGGTACCTGCGTTATACATAGAATTTCTACAAAGAAAATCTGCAGTTAAAATTTGCTGGAGGGTGTGCGAAGTGCCCTTCCTTTCTCGAGGGCCACACCCGCAGTGTTGCTTGAGGAATCAAAGCACAGCACCTTGACAACAGAGTTGCAGTTGTCCCAACAGCCCTACACAAACTTTACATTTTGAAACAGCAGCCAGCATGTCAGTCCAGCATGTCAGTGAATTGTGCTGATTAAATTAACATAGAATACAATCTCACAATATACATCACAAACAAATTACAATGTCTGGAAATAAAAGTTACAGTAAGATAAGTTATGTAGTAACAGCTTATAAGCTTGTCTAAGGTAATAAAAATTTTACATGGCAAATACAATAATGAATGAACATAAATGCTAAGCATTCTACTTTGCTACCAGCTGGAGAAGGGTACAATAAAGACTGCACTTTCAAGAAAGCAAAAACACATATGACAAAGGAAGACAAACGGAGAATGCACATGAGCAGATCTGCAATGTGCAGCATACAAAAACAGTTAAATATTTGCACATTCCCCATACTCCAAGAGCACCAGCACTGAGGCCTCACTTTATGCCTGTGGTTCTTCAGGAATAAGAAACTACTGAGCAAGACATGTCACTGAGTGGCCTTCAAGCTTTCATATTGCCACGGACACCCACTAGAAGAGCGTCTGCACTAAGCATTACCTTTCTGCCCGCCCCACCCACTTCTAGTCCTGCCCCAAAGGTACCAACATTCCAGATCCGTACTTGTCCATGAGCTTTTGGAAAACAATCTGTCCCCAGAGGAAAAGATAGGATGGGTAAGATAAGGAAATGTGTTTGCATATCAATATCTTCAAGGATATTAGCAGAGGGTTATGCTCAATAGTTTATGGCATCAGAAACAGAACATCATCGGCAGGAATAACAGATAGAAGTTGTTTATTAAGGAAGAAAACATGTCAGGGGGCAGATGACTTAAGGAAATGATGCAAGTGCTTTTGTAAAAGGACAAATGAGGTCATACAATATTATTATACTTTGAGAAGTGAGCTTAAGTGCCAACTCAGTCCTTAGACAAACATGTACAAAATCAGGCAAGGCTACAGCAACCATTTTTGTCCTTTTCTCATTAAAAAGGAAGACCCGGTGATTATTTCAATACATTCCTCTAGCTGCATTCTCCGCAGTGGTTGGCACTTTGTACAAGACTTCTCATGTGGTTTAAAACTACTAATTGATTCTTTTTCCTGTCCTAGTGAATGAGTAGGTAGAGGTCACCTCTTTGCAAAATGAGTAAATGGTAAAATGCAGCCTCAACTATGATGTTTAAGTGACCAGGCTCCCTTTCTCCTTGGGGTAGATGGGCTTCCTAGAAACAATCCTTGCTTTCAGCTAGCGCCCTGCCAGCCTGGCCCTGGAGGCCGTGCTCCGAAGAGGTTGCCTAGCTTCATAAGGAAAAGAAAGGCGCTTTTAATTTCAGCCCTAGCGGGATCACACCCTTTTCAAACACCCCAGGCTCCAGTGGGGCTAATGTTCAGGGGAGGCCAGAATTTGACAAGCTCAATAGCACTGTGAGCCCACACCTGAATTTAGAACTTGGCATGGCAGTTGGTATCAGGACCCTGGCAAATCAAATCAGGCCTGAGGACAAGACTGGGGAGTATCAAATACCAAACGAAGCGAACTGATGTGCTCCTAAAAGGTTGTGCTGGATACGTGTGAAAACAACAAAGCTATGGTACCTTCCTGGAAAAGATACTGCATCACCTCTGCCAGTGAAATAGAGAAACCGCCTGCCTGACTGTTCTCTGTCCAAAGAGTGACCTTTCCTTTCTCTCTCTCTTCCTCCCTTTCTTTTCTTTTTTTCTTTCTTTCTTTTATATTATCCCATATGGGGTTCCTTTTACTTTTTTATTTTATTTCATTTTATTTTATTTTGGAGAGGATTGTCTGTCAGTGTCCCTAACAAAATGGAGATAATCTCGGTCTTGGATTTGAAGACATTATGAAATAGGGAACACTGAAAACAAGTTGAGAATCTTTCATCTAATTGGCTTGGTGGAGGTTTTATTAGCGATCACTCTCAGAGACAGAGTTTTGCCTTTATAATGGCAGTCATGTTTCTTGCTGTTAAATAGTCACAGAACTACCTAAATTTATGTGGATTCACAAAGCAAATGGACTCTTCCAGCTGTACTGGAAATTCACTGTGCTCGATCCATCAACTTTCTATAAGAAATAAAAGGTTGAAGTCTGAGTCTGTGGACAGTGGGTTCCACTGCCTTGGCTACTGGTGGAACACTGCGCTCTCACTGCAGCTGATAATTCACTAACCCCGTGAGGTCCTGTGACTTGTCAACTTCTAATCTGGACCAACATAGATGGATAGAGAACAAAGAGGAAATACATAACTTAGATCTAAGTACTCATGAACCAAAAATAAATTCTATTTCTATGTTATATTTACACAATTAGAAAAATCTAAAATGAGATGGTAAAGTCATAAAAAACTTTGTTTAAGCCCCACTGAAAATAAAATGAAGTGATCCCTATGATTGTCACTTTTAATTTCCATGGATATTTAGAGCCAAACTTGGCTAATAAATAAACTGCTTATGCACAGAATTTAGATTCAAATACAGCATCGCTGTTTGACCCAATGAAAGAAATGTTTACAATCACATCATTCCTGAATAGCCTTTCATTTTTAAGAACGTGGCTAGAGTAACTGAACCCCAGTACTGAGGCAGAGCTGGAGCTAAAACAAAGTGTTCATACACACATGTATTTTGCATAAATAAATGAAATAACAAGACATAAAAATGACTCAAATCCGGCAACTGTGAGGCAAGCCCACACGAGTCGAAACAGATGACTTTTGTTCATGTAGTTTTCGTACAACAGTTTCACATTAGTCAGAAGTGATAAAAAATACCATTTCTATCCAGTGCTTATAACACTTACGAAACAACATCTGTGAGTGTGTGTGTTTTGTTGATTTTTTTGTTTTGTTTTGTTTTTTACTACAAGCAAAATCAAGTTTCAGTCCTAAAGAACAGTCCTTTGTTCTCCACCAGCCCAGAATATTATTTTGGCATGGTCATAAAAACAAACAAAATTAAACTACTATTCTAAATGTTTGCCTTTGTGCAAAATTAATTACATACAATACAATGCTAGCCATACAGCACTCTATCTATGCAACAAAATAAAAACGGAGTGGGAAGGGGCAAAAGCAAAAGTCAAAGAGGAAGGGAAAAAACACGAGAACTAGCTGAGGAGGAGAGGTATATAATCAAAAGAAATCAGTAAGACAATAATAAATACTCATTTTTTGAGAAAAAATGACCTCCTCCTCATTTGAAATAAATGTACAAAAACAAAGTTCCAATCCCCAACCAATATTAAGCATAAAACATTCCTATCAGTACCTTAATCAGCTTACAGAGAGCACTCCCAGCTAATGCCATAGCCAGGAAGATTTCGGCAAGACCTCCTTATTGCTATTAGGTAGGGCCTTGCCTTGAGCACTCTTTTAATAAATATGAAGGTACACTATTTTCTTCCAACTGACAAAATGGCTCAAGAAATCCGATGGGGCCATTCCTATGTCTTGGTGACCAGATTCTGGGTTGTTCCTTGAGGTGAACTGTCCCATTTGCTAACATTCTCCCATTGAGCCACTCTGGGTGAGGCCCCCATAGGCAATCAGTCCTAGGTTCAGGAAGGTCCAAATGGCACGGCCAAGCTCCTGTAGTTAGGACATGGAGCATAAACCCCCACTGCCTCCAAGCCCACCAGCATATCTCCAGAGAAATCCTTGTGTGAGAAGGGCAGTTATCTTGCTCACATGGAGGTATATTCCCCCAACAGCCACAGATGGAGAGAGTGAGCCAGAAGTACTCATCTGCTGCCCAGGAGTGATCTGTTCCCCAGAAGAAACAGTGGGAACATTCTATATAGGGAATATCCTTCTCCTCCTTCTCCTTCCCTATACATAAATATATATATATATATATATATATATATATATATAGTTTCATTCTCTGGATATATCATGATTACCTCTATCTTTGCTTTGAGGCTGGCATGTGGCTTCTTACATCCTGGAGATTTTACAAAGAACTCCCTAGATGTGCCAGATGGGACAAGGCAACCCAGTGTAAAGGTGCCAGCCCATGACAGCATCCTTGTAGCCTCCTCCATGGCCCACAGCCTTGGGCTTTAGGTTTGGCCGCGGAACTCTCCTGCCTGGCAGTCACCACTGTTGACCCTTGCTGCTGAATGGCATTCAGGGAAAATGCCACTGATGCAGATCCTACCACTTGTTGCTGAACTGAATTAGGGGGAAATTCTGGCAAAAGATTTACGGTCATGGCAAAACTCAGGGGTTCACCTGTTGAAATGTAATACTCTACACCTGTATCCAGTACATAGCCCCACAGTCAGATACTCATGTTTAAAAAAACAATATAGGTATGTAATAGTATCTTGTTTCAGAAATGCTTCCAGATGCTCTGGGGACATAAAATCACTATGTACATCTTTTGTATCTAGCAGGAGAAGGAGGTAAAAAGGACTGAAAAGTTCTTCGGGGAAGGAGGGTGAAAAAACAAAGAATTATTAAATTAATGCCACCAACATTTTTTTTTTTAAATAAATAGCAAGTGGACCCTTGACATTCTGGAATGAATAAATTACTTAAGAGAAAATGTGTTAAGACTGAATGTCAGGGTAAAAGGCTAAGGGAGAGTGGATGTAGTGAGAGGTGGTCTCAGGCAGAGAAGACCACCGTGTCGGTGTCTGGTGTGGTGATCACTGTGGTGTGCGGCACGCACTGATGGCACATCAAGAGGCAAACACAGCTGGGTGCACGCACTGTGGCAACCTTGTTCATTCCTTACAATATCTTGTCTCCAGATTCCTGAGTACTTTACCATTTTCTGGAAAAAAAAATGTATGGTTTTTGCTATTTTATTTTAAGATGCCAAAGATTGTCTAAGACTTTGCAGTGTCTCCTTTAAGACTTTCAAATATTAAGATTCAAAAGTTATGAAAAAGTTTGGCACATTCAAAGTTTAACTCTACACATGGAAAAATGGAATTCTGAGGCCTTTCGAATATGATCTACATGCAGCTGCACACGCCATGGACTTGTTCTGTTTCACAATATGAAATCCTCAGCTGTTTTCTAAAATAATTCAGAATAAAAACACATTCACAACCTGTAGGCCGGCACAGCATACCTGAGTGAGAATGTTTAACCCCATCTAAAACAGTAACTTAAACCTTTATCAACATCCAAAAGAAAAAAAGTAAGACAAAAATATAAGACTTGTAAGACAGCTATGGGTTGAGATAAGTTTTCAAGTCCTGGTGTCTCATATTTAATATGTCTTCACCTAAATTAAAAAAACAACAACAACAACAATAACAATAACGACAAAAACTCAAGTTCATGAAAAATCAGGGAAAACTTAATCTGTCTCACACTTTACGAAACAATTAAGACCATTCTGCTGATGTAATTGTGGAGCCACAAATGCATGCGGGCTCTTTAAGAACTTTTGTTGGGGAGGGGAGGTGAAATGTCAGAGTATTTTAATTCAGCAAACAAACACTGGTCAGTTGGCACTGACAGCCTCCGGGGCTTCGTTTTCGCTGCTATAGTCTGATTTGGGATCATCTTCATAGTCGTCATACATTTCCATTTCATCCTCTCCATTAATCATTTCATTTCCAGCTAGGCTTCCACCATCTGTCTTCATACCATAAGTGCTCTGGATGACTGGGAGGCTGGGCTCTGGGCTGGCAGAGGTGCTAGAGCAGTCAGATGTCATCTGAGGTGATGGTGTGGTCGTTGCCATAGTAATAGCACCAGGATACACAACACCTGTTCCTGTGGTGATTGGAATCTGAGGCTGTTGCCTGTATAGATTCAGAAAAACAAAATAAAACAGGGGGAAAACATCTCTCCATATGTTTTTCTGTGTGGCATTAGAATTCATCTCCCGCACATCCAAAGGGTGTCCCTATTTGACATTATAGGTAGATGACAAATGGTGACAAAGGAGTTTCCTGGGGAGTCCTGCAAATGTCCTTGATACTATGGTTTGGGGGGGTAGGCAATATAATGGAGAAATTTATTGATGGTTTTACAACATAAAAGCTGAGTTCTTCAAACATTGCAAATATAGCAAGTCAGGTAATGTCTGGCATTTGAAACAAAAGCTTCCACAAAGTAATATGTGAGACCATTTTTTTAAGATCTCCCAGAACATTAAAAAAAAAAAAAAAGTTTGGTAGCATGAGATATAATGACACTGTTAATCAGGCTTTTGTCATCACCTTGGTTTGAGAACTCTACCAAGGAAAGATGAGGATGATAAAGAGCTAGTATGTCCCAAAGTGTCAGATTAAAAAGGCATGTATTTGTTATCCATGCAAATGTCTACTTGTTTTTATGGTTGAACTTGTAAGGAAGCTCCTTGAAGCTTCTATTTTCCTGGTTATGGAAGGATCATCTTGGATTTCATTACTCCTGAGGTCAGAGCTAAGGCTGGAGGAGACTAAAGAGCAGAGAGATCTCTGCAATTCAACAGGATAATAGATATGTTGCCTCATCCTAGATCCTAGCAATGCCAAGGTATGGTCACACCAGATCATTCTGTTATAATGTTACTCTAGTTCAAATAAACTTACCAGACCCTTTATGAAGGTCAGTTTCTCCCTCTGCAGCGAGACAAGGCTACTTGACTCTCAATTTCCCTAGTCACAAGAATTAAAAACCTGCTTCCCTCAGAGATTCTGAGCAAAACAATATTCTCACGGGTGCAATATTCACCAAGTCTTTCTTTGTGCAGAGCAATGGTAATTTAAACTCATTTCAAAAGTCATAACCTTTCTGGACCTTAGTTCCCATGTATATATAAGAGCTAGGATCAGGGAAATTCTGGACAGTCTTTCCACCTTTCATTTTTCATAGGTTCGGACCAGTAATCACTTAGAAATTTTTTACGGGCCCTATACATCATCACTGAAACTTTCCATTCACCTAAGTCTAACAGGAAACTACCCTAAATCTATGAAGCAATAGCTTGGTTATGAACTTTTTTTTGGAGATACACAGGAGGAGAATAATTTTCTCACAAAGGCTTGCCTTCCAGCCTGGTAGAGGAGAAATGATAGAGACCACCTAGAATCACTGTGATTCACCTGATAAGGCTATCTTTCACTCACTAGGAGGGATAAATAGTGATTCCTCAAACTTTGACTAATGTATAAAATCTTTTCATAGGTACTACCTCATTCAATTAACATGACTACCCCATGAGATATTATCAGTCTCAGTTTTCAGATAAAGAACGTAAAGCCTTGCATTCAATAACCAGTAGAGCCAGAATTTGGACCTTTGTCACCTGACTGGAATTTCATCACTCTTTCTTTTATAGATATTCAATATACATATACACCATGCTCACTATATCTCATAAAAATTCCTGATTTCTGTAGAGCCTGTCATCATCCAGACACCAAACACCTGCTATTGAACTACTTTCTATGATGCTCATGTTGAGGTTTTGGTTGCCTGAAGGAAGATGCTAGAGAGATCTCAGTCTATGCATAGAAACAGAGAATACTGGTTTCCCTCTCATAGAATCAAATTCTACAAACAGTACATTGCTTGTTTCCTAAGTTTTGGGCAAATTGACACAATTAAATTTCATGCTAAACTTTCCAAGGCAGTAATGACCCATTAATTTTCTTTACTAAATCTAGAAAATTGCAAGAAAATATCTCTTAGCTTAATCACATAATGAATGTAAAGGGAAAACTATTACTACAATATTGACCCATTTTACAGACATCCCAGTTTGGTGAGTTAATCTGTACTATAAACTCTATACAGCATACACAAACTATCAAAGGTTACTCTTTTTCACAAAGAATAGATGGCTGTTCTTGCATTATTTTTTACATCAAAATGTGTACATGCACAGTCTATTAAGTTGAATTGAGGTCTGATAATGTGCTGAGGATTATGCTTAGAGGCTTTCACAGTCTCTCTTGAAGCTTCACAATAGGACTGAGAGGTAAGTATTATTTCCCCTCTTTTATGGATGAATTAATCAGGTGGGGTTCAGAGAGTTAAAGTTGTTTATCCAAGGCCATACAAGTACCATAGTTAGCAGCTGAATCCTTCCCTATGTCACAAATTCTCTACTAGAAATCAAGACTAGAACAAGACAGGCAAATTTACACTATCAGAAAAAAATACTCAGCAATTTCAAACAGAAACAATCTCATCTAAAACAGGCTTCACATATTTAATAGTATTTATATATTAGGATGCTAATGGCATGCTAAAAACAAATAAAATATCTATGTGACTTGCTTTCTAGAGTAAGACACACATGATATTCAAAAGCCTACTACTACTGGGTGGTGGAGAAATATCAAATCCGGTATCTGCTGAGATCCGCATACTGTTTGGTTCATCTGTGATATCTTAAAGGTGTTAGCTTTGCTCTCTTTCCAACGTTACTCTGGCATAATTCTTTTTTTTTTTTTTAAGATTTATTTATTTATTTATACAAGCACTGGGTACAGTCAGAAGCGCGGGAGGGTGAGAGAATTCACCAGAGCCAGAGCGGGGAGCAGAGCAGGCAGAAGGACTGAAGTACACTGCTGAGGGGAGCAGCGGGCAGCAGGAGAGGTCTGCGTGCCATGTGGGATCCTCCTCCGGTGGCCGGGGAGCAGCCGGGGATCGAACCGGCGCTGCAGAGGCTGCGGGCAGCTTCGCTAACCCAGCGCTCAACCGCTGCGCCACGGGGGAGGCCCTGGCATAATTCTTGATGACTCACTACCCATATAGATGATCACTCCACCACCTCGCTATCCCAGTTTCTTAACCTCCCTTACATTATGATGATCTGTCTCCTCTCTATCGCAGTTGCTAGATCTAATGTCATACAACAGACCTTGTAATTTCCAACTGTATTCCCTCCCTAATTTCAGTTTAAAACATCCTACTCTCTAATCACATCTTATATTTTTATTTGCCTCTTCCAGTACTCCAGTTTAACAATCATCTTACCCCATGAGGACCTACAATTCCTTTATCCTTCCAACTTTCACTATCCCTTTCCTATCATATTCTGTCTTCATTTGCCTCCCAACCAAGTAAAAATTCTGTAGTTCATCACTCCCCTGCCAATACTCTCCATTCTCTTACATGACCTACTCTTTGTCTAAATTCATTCCTTTGGTGATCATGTCCAATTCTGTCACTTTAAATATTATCCATGGGCTGACAACTCTTGTTCTTATCTCCACACAAACTTATTTTATTTGGATGTCAAAATTCTATCTCGGTATTTGATAGTATTGATACTATTTGATAGATGCAAAACTGAACTGATCATTTTCCCATATACCTGCTCCTCTCATGGCCTTTTAGATCTTGATTAATAATTACTTCATCTTTGTGGTTGCTCAAGCAAACCTTGGTAACTACATTTCTCGCAAATCCTATCCTGAATCCATTGGCAAATCTTAGTGGTTCTCAACTCAGAAACATATCCAGAATACCTCCACTTCTTGCCTCCTCCACCTCTACAAACTTGGTCCGAGCCACCATCAACTCTACTCTGGTTTATTGTCAGAGCCTCCCTCCTTATTTCATGCTATGCCATCTCCAGATAATTATCAACATAGAAAATAGTGATCCTTTTAAAATCCAAGTCAGATCAGAGCATTCCTCTTTTTGTAACCTTACATACTTCCCATCTCACTCTGAGTCAAATCCAAGTTTTTTGACCTACCAGTTTTTTCACCATTGGGCTCCCTGTTATCCCTCTGATATCTATTACTTTTTTTCCATCTACTCACTCTGTTTTATCACTGAGGCCTCATTATTTCTTGAGCAAGCTAAGCAAAACCTCACCTCAAGACTTTTGTCGTTGCTATTTTTTTCTGCTGAATTCTTCCTCTAGATATCTTCAGGGTTTGTTTCCTTAGCACCTCTAGTCTTTGGGCAAGTGGTATCTCCTCAATGAGGTTTTCTATGGCCACTATGTTTGTTAAAATTGCACCCTCTCCTCTAATGCTTCCTCTCCTTCTCCCCCCTACTTCACATTGTTTGAAGGCACTTATCACTGTTGGTTATTCAATTATCCATTAAATAGTCTGACTTCCCTCACTAGAATATAAGCATCATTAGGAAAGGAATTTTCCATGATGTGTCCCACAGGTGATATAAGGCCTAGGACACAAGAGACACTCAATACTTATCTTTTGAATACAATGAATGGATGTATGAATGAATGAACTAATGAGTGAGATGAAAAAGCAGGGTCCTTTGTTCTAGTTAAGAAAAGACACAATGAGATTAGACCTATGGGGTGGAGGATGGTGGCAAAAGTATGTGAGTATAGCCAATAATTGTCTTTGTAGATAAGGAAGAGATCAGAGAACCAATCTAACTACATAGCAGAGAAAGGCAGATTATGGCATAGCTAAGAAAAATGTACTTTTGAACATTAAGAGATGTTCCACAAAGAAGCAAGTGCCCTTGGAAAATGGTGAACTTTCTAGCCCTAGAAAGTTTGAGCATAATTTAGAAAGCACTCGTACAAAGGCTTGAAGTATCTGACTTCTGAGGTAACTTCTAAGTTACCAGTGTTTCTGCGGATGCAAAATCATAACCTAGCTGTCACACTGATCTTGTTATCTCATCGTCAACATGAAAAGAAAGTTTAAAAAATTAAGTGAGCATAGCTAATTATAGTTGAAGAAGTCTGCTTTACAAGGGTTTCCAAAATATTATCCCTTCTCTACCTTACTATACTGCTAGGAAAAATTCATAGACTAGCCTCCTTCTTTATTATGGAATATTTGCACTCACCTTCCATCTGCTCATGCTCTCCTTCATGCTAAATTAGGAATCTTTACCCCTACTTTCTACCAGCCTGACCCTACCCAAACCTCAAGTCTCCATCTTCGAGGATGTTCTATGTGTGCCCCTAATGAGTGCCATTCGTTCTCTGAGTTTTACTTGCTCTTTCCTCTAAGTGAGAAAAAAATCAAAACTAATATTTCATTATACTTTATGTGTGGCACTATGCAATGTAGTCTCTGTGTGTGTGTGTGTGTGTGTAACAAACTATTATTTGCTAATCTATTCATGTATGTGTCTCACTACTTTGGCTACCGCAGTCTCTGAAGGCTCATTCTGTATTAATGCTTCATGTTTTGTACTAATTTAGTACAGTGCTGGGCACAGAGCTGGTTTCAAGTAGATCCTTACCAATTGACTAATCAATTAACAAAATGGAAATTCCTGCCAGCAGGCTCAAGCTTTGTCCATCGGAAATTACTTTCCTAAAAAGCATTTTTCCTTCCTTTACAGATCAATTGCAAAGTCAAAATTCAAACACTGCAGATTTCACAAACAGGAATAGCTGGCAGGCTATTGGGCTCTACAAATAATGAATGTGCACATCAAAACAAGCGTTGTAGCTGTTCGTAAAAGTATATGCATATGGCTGATAAGGGCAGACAGGGCTGAAAACCTGCCCTCCTCCCAATCCAAGTAGATTGTGCACTGACCCCAGTACAGTCCTGCATTGTTGCATGGCTTCTATATCATAAAGATATTTCTATAGTATAGTCCACCTTTGCCAACTGCAAAGAAACTACATAGTTATGTTGGCAGAGCCCTTTTGCTTGCTAATCCTCAGGACATTTATAGAATCCATAAGTGAAGTCAACAAAGTCTGTTTCATTAAGAGATAAGCTTATATGCTGCATATCTCCATGTGGATTTTACAGGAATGAATGGAAATAGCAATCTTTTTATATTACTTATTAGAGATTTGAATTTAGCTTTCTCTATAGGAAAATGATAATGAAAATGTATGGTTCCAGACACTGTTCTAAGCCAGACACTGTTCTAAGCACTTTAGATATATTAAGTTATTCTGTATTCAAGAATCTCATGTTATAGATATTGTCATCTCCACTCTACATGTGAGGAAATTGAGGTGAGTGTCTCAAAGGAAAGTGGAGAGTTCAGAAGAATAAATATAGTTATTCATTAGATTATAGAATCAGGAAGAAGTAGATCTAGTTTTGAGCCAGGAACAGTCTGGCTGCAGAACTGATGTCCTTAACCACTATGCTATATAGCCTCTAAACAATTTGTCATCTCTAATTGAGAGGTATGTATCATGGTGAAAAGCACATATGTTTCACATTCACATAAGCCTGGCTTAAATCTCAGCTCTGCAATTTGCTAGCTGTGTGGCCTTGAACAAATTATTTAACATCTCTGAACATTGGTTTTTTCAGTGCTATAGGGAGTATGACACTGCGAATCTTGTAAATTTGCTATATTTGCAATAATTGGTGTAATTCATTCAACATAGTATAGAGCATATAGTAAGTATTCAATAGCTTACCATTACTATTATTATTAAAAATAGGTCAAAATTTAATATTTTATAATATCTGAAGATTTTTCTATTAGTTCACAGATAAATTATTGAATAAGCTTCAAATAAGGGAAGTCTATTTAATCATAGTTCTTTGGGAAAAGACATCATTGTAACTCTATGTATTCTAATGAATATCATTTCAGCATTAATAGCACTTTCATCAGGATTATTACAAAATTATGCTACTTAACCTGTCAATTGAAGGGGTTAAATCCAAGATAAGAACTGATCTTACTCCATTTCCTATTACTGATACATTCATTTCATAAGTTAAATTAAAAAAATCCTAATTCCCTGCACTTCTAACTGTATCATCAGTAAAATTCATTACAATGCTGAGCAATATATATAATTTTATTGGCTTGAAAGTTATGCATGTCTTTTCAAAATCAGCTATAAAAATTGATCTCACCCCCATTCCCTTCAAGAAGTCAATAGCAATTTTTGAATTTCTTTTTGTTTTTCCCTCTTGTAACAACCTCGCATCTAATGAAGATCAATTTCCAAAGATGAACCCTGGGGAGTTAATAATCTATCAACTACAACGACTTAGAAAAGAATACAAATCTTTAAGTGGAAATAATACTTGGCTTTAAGTAGCAAGTATTACCAAAACTGGACTGAGGAAAATACTCAGCATTGAATATTAATGAATAGGACATTCCAGCCATTGTCTGCACACCTGTAACCTCACCCCACAGTCTAAAATGATCTTTCCATAAAATATCTTTTCCATAAAAGATATTCCTATACATCACCAGGAACATGATCCTTAGTTTCTAAGTTTCAAAGTCCTTCCTATGCTACCAAAGGCCTTATTTTCTTTAGGTCTTAATGATTCTTGTGAATAGGGAGATGAGGCATATTTGGAAGTCACATGGTTAAGACAACTTCTCAGTCATTTGTCAAAATGGAGATAGAGACCAGGATTTGAACCTTTGTTCTTTCTCACCTTTTTGCAGTCAGAGGAACTCTTGAATTCTCATTTTCTTTGTCTTACTGAAAGGATGTGATTTGTAGATCTAAAACACCTAGTTTTCACATGTTCTTAAGCTGCTTTAGTTTTTTATTTTAAATTTACATTGTTATATGATGTATTTTGATGCAGAGCTGTTTTAATAGACCCTTTGGTGAGCGGACTAAATTCAGTAGAATTACTGCATCTCACAGTTTCAAATAAATATCAGGGAACTAACAGTCTTCCAGATAGCAGGAAAGAGAGCCACTATGCCTCATGAGATACACTGGGAATCACAAAGGATATTAAATGGAAACTTTAAAATCTATGTTCAAAAGGTTATATACAGTCTCGGAGCTATACTACCAGGATTAGAAGACATTTATCACATGGCTTTAAATTTGTATATTGTTACATAGAACTATACTTCCTAGAGTAAATTGGTATTTGTATTAATCCTCTAATTAGCATGTGAATAGCCCAATTACAAGGCATTATACTTTGTGTTAAAAGCTTTACTTTTAAGAATGCAAACATTAATAAGGCAAAAGAATTTGATAATCCTGTTTTGGTAAGTATTCATCTGTTAATATATTAGGATCCCCAAATAACAAGGTGAGGTAAGCCTCTCTTTACTTTGAAGAGTGCTGCAGTATAAAGAAATCCATTGATTATCCAGTATGATATAAAATATATTTTTGCTGTGATAGTAAATCCATATTTAATAGTAAGGATGCTGAAAGGAATTCACTTATATTGACATCCTACTAAGCATTTTAGAAAATGCTCTTAAAAACATTGCCTGGGTGAGTCCTCTCAACAACTGTATAACTACTGTTACTCATTTCACTTCACCCATGAGAAAAAAGAGGCATAGAGAAGTTAAATACCTTGTCCAAGTAGGTAGCAGTTGAAATGCCAGAACTCATCTCCCACCCAGAATACTCTAGTGATTATATGGACACATAACCCCAACTGCTTTCATCAGTCTTTTAAAATTTTCTTGGCATTTCTATCTACTACTCCAAAGTAATTTTATGTTTTTAAACACATGCTTCTGAAATCAACTTTTTGTCTCATAAAGCTATTTTTTGAGGATCTTTAAAAACAAATAGTCCTTGGGGCCTTTCTGGTGGCGTAAGGGGTTAAGCACAGCACTGTGAAGCTATCTGCAGTCTCTGTAGCATGAGTTCGAGCCCCATCAGGCCAGGAAGCAAGCCATATGGTGCAACAGGCCTCTCCTGCCTTGCCCTCTGTTCCCCTCAGCAGTGTATTTCAATTAGTCTGCCTGTTTTGTTCCCCATTCTGTCTCTGGTGAATCCTCTCACCCCCCCACACCACTGGCCTGTACCCCAGTTCTTGTATGCATAAATAAATCTTTAAAAAACAAATAAATAAATAGTCCTTTACTTCTCCTTTAAAATATCTCTTTCTTCACCTCTAAGTGAAGTTTTCTTCTTTTCCTGGCCTAGCATGGCACTTCATTTCTCCTTCCAGTTAGCAGTGAATGCAGCTTCCTTTTCATTTATTTCATTTCTTTCTCTCAAGCCCTTTCCCAAGTATCCTCCCAATCCGACTCCAGCTGCCTCATGCCAGTTCTTCCATAATGGTCCTCTAGTTTGCCACCCCCTGTGTCTCTAGGTCTGGGTGTGCTGGAATCTATAGGCATCTGCATCCCCACTTATCCTGACTACTGTGGTTACAAGGGGCCCCTTTTGAATGCAGACAGCTAGTCAGCCAAGTCGAAATTTATACCAGAAATCTATTACCTAATTTTTAAACAAAATGACATGAAATCAGACTTGAAGATATCAAAAACATGTCTAGTTTCTGAGTTAAGCAAGAAAATCCACATTGTTACTGCTTCCACCACAGAATAATTTACTGCAACAGGAGTTCTGGATCTTATGCCAAAAATGAGGTCCTCTAACCAATGTCAAGGCCAATTATCTTGTGGTAGGATCCCACAACAAAAGCAGACTATTGTGATTAGAGTCAGAAGCACCACCCAGAGAAGCTGGAAGGCTTCTGGGGATTTCTTAAGGTTAGTTTTTATTTTTTCCTCCCTGTGTGTCTGTTTAAATAAACTACCAGAAACTTGGTGTGTGGGCACTGAGCATCTTAGATTTGTCTAAGAGACAATGAAAGGGGTGATCCGTTGGGAGTGTTGCAGGTTTGCTTTGCTTTGATTTGATTTGTGCCTGTGACATGACAAAGATGGTGACTGCCATGGCCCTTCAGTGTGTCACAACCTCCTCCCTTCCCAACTATCTCCTTCCCAAACACTGTGCCCCGTAGCCTCCTGTGCTTTCTTACTGGGAAGAGAAAGCCCAGGTGGCTAAAGTAAGGAACACTTACCCCACAGTAAAGAACTGCCTCATCTCCTGTCTTCGAGACCTCATCAGTTGTTTATACTCCCCAATCCGGAGCTTTTTGCCATCGACAATGCAGGTGCGTTTCGGTCGAGGTTTGTATTTATAGTTTGGGTACTTCTCTAAGTGGATCTTGCTTAGCCGGGCCTGCTCTTCATAATAAGGTTGTTTCTCTTGGTTGGACATAGATTTCCAGCGAGACCCTAGACATAAAAATAGCCTTCAATACCCAAGCGGTCAAGGTAACATATTTCTGGCAAGTACAACTAGATATCCCTTCCCACTGCCTCATCACCTGCAGTCTTAGTCCCTCTGTCCACACACCATTAAGGCACACACCTAGTCATTTAGACTAGAAAGAATATTTTTGCATGTTAATTTAATGTATTATTCCTCTCAATAATTTAAAGTTGATGGTATAATATATTATTTTAAAATCAGTATTTGCTGCTTATAAACCTACCTTTGCACACCTACACCAACATCTTTACCCTATCTACCTTCCAATCTCTCTCAAGAGGGTTAAAAACCTGAACTTCCTAAGCATATTTTCAAGTGCAACAGGATTCTCAGGAAAAGCTCTCTTGGTTCTAGAAATTCAAACATCTCCCACACGCCAAGCATCTTCAGGAAAGCTATGCTTTGATAAGATGTCAGCAGATGTTGTTATCCTTCCATATGTAAAAGCCTACTGTGCACACTGTCTTCTCTGGCTAAGGGTAATTAAAAAACCTAAACTACCTAAGAAGTTCTAGCTTTAGAACCGGAAGGTGCCGTTGGAGTTATATATACCATATTCAAGTACTATAAACGCTCACTCAAAGCTGTACCGATGAAAGTACAAAAATTTTTAATATGGTTTATACAGGAAGAAGGAAAAGTATTCACGTCTCTAATATTGTTTATAAAGAGTTATCTAAACACTTGATGAAGAAGGGATGTGTTTTTTTACATGTATCAAATTGCATTTTTGTGTCTCGCTGGTGAATAAAGCGGTAACAGCTGTGCTGACTGGATGTTAGCTATTCTTCGGTGGAGATTTTTCATACATAAACAAATGGAAAAGTTGTACAAATATTCTCTGTAGCCAGCAATATCCTGGTCTGCTTTAGTCGCACATCCATCCCTGTTCTTTCCTGATTGTTGAGCAAAAGTTGTGCAAAAAGTCTCTGCTGATAGGCTTCTCTGTGTTCTGCTGGCTCCCAGCAGTTTAAAACCCCAGTTAACAGAAGATTCTTAGTACTCTCAAAATGCTGTGCTTTAAAGGTTTACATTTTAATGAATACACCCACTATACTCTTAATAATTTCTTTCACAGAATGCACACCAATAATACAGTTTCTCTACAGCTGCCAAAATGGAAACAGAGAGGTTTCTGTGCCCATCTGAGAGCTCACTCAAACTGCTACTAACTGGCAAAAATACATATGTATAGATTACATAGATATAGGACAGATGAACATTGATTTTCTTTTGTCTATTAATTTGAAAAAAATAATATCTCCATTCGGAACATGTCAGCTTAAAATTCGAAAGCATAATACCGCTATGTATCTCTCTGGGACTCTAAGAATAAAACCCCACGATGACACCAGTATCCATCTCCAAATGCAAAAATCAAAAGGAACAAACTTGTATTTTAACATTTTACCACTATTAGATCGTATGCATGTTTTACGTTTTCTTAGAGGTCACTGACTCAAAATGTCTCACAATCAAGTTGAATTATTTATACAGTGTCAAAACATGTGTATTTGTGTATGTCCAGATCACTGATATTTACTCAGGTTAAATATTTATTGCTTTTGAACAAAACATTTAAAAATGGAAAACCACAGTTTAAGTCTCTAATGTTTTTCAGCTTCTTAAACTGCTCCCTTTGAGATTTTGTCACATCACGACAGCTTAAGTAGAACAGTGCCTTCTGTGTTTTTTCCTTTTAAAGAGGAAACATGTTGACTGTAATGCTGCATGTTGAATAAAATATGTTCAATATGTTGAGTGCAATAATTCTAAACTGTATAATCTGCACTAGGCAAGCTTTACACTAATAGAACAAGGCTTGAGTTTAATCCTGAGAAACGGGAGAATCATTCTGGCAATTTACCACAGAATGGGCCTCTGCCCTGTGGTCTATGTGTTCAGCTCACTGCTATGAAATTCGAACTAGTCATATCTTATTAAAGTAAATGTAGTTTTATTTTACAAGTTTAAAAGTTATCATTAGAGGCTCTGTTCCACACTCCATGAATTTCACACTATTTTTGGCTCCCCCTAGTCCTTGATGAGTTCTTTCAGAGGGATGTAGAAACCCAAAAATACTAAAGCAGAAAACTGTAGGGTCCATGAATATTTGCAAGGTTTTGTAGCAACATATGAATTTAAGAAGACTGAACAAGAAAAGGTGATAAAATGTGTTTCCACGAGTCCTGGTTAGCAGTGACTTCTCAATGTAATCAAATCCACAGCATTAACATATACTCTAAATAGTTTTGTCTTTAAAGTAAGTTTTCAGTCATTCTTCCTTTGGCACTTGGTGGGTATAAAACTCCTAAACCCAAATGCCACATTGTGGGGTGGGGGATTCAGAGATGATGACAAAGTTTCCTATGGCAGACTGCAGAGCTACATCTAACTCATCTAACCGCAGTCTCCCTTAGGGTGTCAAATTATGCCCCTGCTTTCCACCTTTGAGGCACTCACGAGGTAGAAGATCAGCATCAGCTGCTGCACTCACCTAAGATTTTGCTAATGTTGGAGTTATGCATGTCAGGGAAGGCCTGAAGGATTTTCCTCCTTTCATCCTTTGCCCAAACCATGAATGCATTCATTGGTCGCTTGATGTGTGGCTCGCTGCTGGCCCGGCCCCGGGCATCCCTGTAGACTCGTGCTTCAGCCACAGTGGCACCTCCTGTTGGCCAACAATAATACTGCTGTAGTTTAGCTGCAGAGCCATTCATTGCTTTACTTCCTGTAATGTCAGGGCAGGAAGAACAAGATGGGTGCAAAGCATTATTATCTGGATAATGTAACACAGCTTGCCACCTGGTTCAGCTGCTTTCCCTAGGCCCTTTTCTTCTATTTCTAAATGATCTTTTGGAAGCAGAAGACAGTTTCAAATGACAATTCTATTGGCCCTCTGAGGTAGGCCTCAAAGATGCACTGGGAAGAATTAATTTTATATATTTTAATATACCTACTGTATTTTTACCACAATCAATTCCAGGTGATGATAAAGCAATGGCTGCTTATTATTTTAGGGTAAGTTTTCCTGCTGTGATCCCTCCCTTTAAAAGCTGGCTTTTACCTATCATTTTAGCCTCATTTGCCAAAAATTGCAGCCACTTCAAACTCTCTCTTTTCCTCAAACAAAATTCTCTTCAACAATACTGTGCCTTGACCTGTGATTTCTATACAGAAGCTCTTTCTCCTCTTTCTTCACACTAAATCCCATTCAACCTTCAAGGTCTATTCAAATGCTGGTAAATTAATTAACTAAGTAAAAAATATTAATTGAGCAATTATTATGAGCTAAACTGCACATCAGATGCTAGGAATACAAAGATTTATTTATCGTTCATTCATTCACTCATTCATCAGTTCCTGCTTTTAAGGGAGCTTACATCTCATAGGGGAGATGGACCCCCAAACAGACAATTATAACAGAGTGTGTATATTGAAGTAAACAATTCTATTGAAGTAAACAGCGCCTAAGAGGGCCCCAGACAGAATGGTCAACTAAAGTTCCCTAGGAGAGGTGACATCTAAATTGAACCTTGGAGGATGAATAAGAATTAGCATGTGAATGGAGAAGGGGAGTAGAGACTGGTAGGATGGGTAATGTGGATGAAAGGAGCTTCATTTGCAAGGATGCTAGACAGAGTGTATTTATTCCTCTTTCTTTTAATCTATGTGCTCCAAAGTAATTACTCATTGACACAACTCTCTCTCATATCTCCACTTCATCCCTAGGAACATAAGACCCCTCTATCCTAAGGATTTCCCATATAATAAATACTTAATAAATATTAAGTAAAAGATTGTTTGGTTTCCAACTCATATGAGTAGTAGACTAAAGGCATTGATTTCAAACTCTCGATACATTTTTTCTGCTCTTTAAGATATTTAACATCTCCCTAAAAAATGATGCCTAAATTCCTGATATTTAATAGTTTCCAAAGAGATGATTCTATTAACATGGCAGACTGAATATGCTCCTTATGGATATGGCAGGAACTGGCTCTAGTTCACTGCTGTATCCGTAGGTTCCAGAAAAGCAATTGGTGAACAGAGTTTCAACTTCCAAAATATTTTAAAGTAATGAATAATTGAAAAAGTGAATGAATGAATGAACATAACTCTTACTTGTTTTCATGCACCTTACCAGCATGACACAATGAGGTATGCTTTGCAATGTGGCAACATTTGAACAGCTCCCTATAGATTGAGAATTTCTATAGTTAAATGTGAGGTGGTTGGACTCATCAGTCTCAGATAGGGCTACTATTGCATAAATAGGAAAACCTACTCCCAAAAGCTTAGAATCAAGTATACATTAGAACCAACGTTTCCACTTTTTGAGAAAAGTAAATCCTTTCGGTTCGGTGAAGTGATTATATAGGAACAACATGACCGAATTAATACCTTGATTAAGTAGAAATTTGTGTCAGAGCTAGTAATAAATTAAAATATTATTATTTGTCAAATATGGTCATCATTTAATGTTAACAAAAGACAGGATAAATGGATCAAATTGGCTAAAATTGTCAATTCTTTTGTAAACATGAAGGAAAGCAAAGGGGTCACTTTCTGAAGATCACGCAAAAATAACATTTTATAAACAGCACTTCGTTTAGGCCTACTAGACAGAATGATTCCTTACATGAAAAGTCTCAGATCTCAAGATGCATAACTAATATGCTACCTTTTTGCCACCATACCCACAGTACATTAATTTCATTTAAAATGCACTGACCATACAGGATAAATTGATTTCACTTTATATGAGTTTGACAGCCATGTTTATTGTGCAGTGAAATGTAGTGTAGCTTCCAGCTGACAATATCCATCAACACAGGGCAATATGCTGACTGCTGGGCCAGATGAAGGCATACATTACTCTGGAAGTGAAACACTCATTCAGATACGACAGTGTCTTCTCCTGAGGATCACCATGGTAATTTATGATGCCCTCAGTGCCATTACTTTACAACTGACATGGATTCAGCAATTTATATACTTGCATGCATACAAATAAAAGGAGACATGCTTGTGGAGAATGTCAGATACAAAAACATTTCAATATTATTCTAAGTTAACTACTATGCCACAAGTGATTAACATTTGTGATCTGCTTCTATTGTTGTAGATTTCATGCCATCTCTAGCAAAACCAGATAATCTTCTTCCACTATTTATTCATTTAAAGGGTCTATTTCATTGTGCATGGAAAGCATTATTCTCTATAGACTGACAGAGATCATGGTGAATTTTAGACTTTGGTTTTAGTAAATCTACTCCATACCAAGTGATTCTCTCAAACATATTGTATATATGCCAAATCTCTCTCCTTCTTATTAACATATCCTTAATCTCTTCTATTTTACTCTACTTTTCCCCCCAAGGAACAGACCTTAGATCCCATCCACCAACTGCCCCACACCATCCCTTCTTCCCATAGTGCATACTATCTACATGAAACTGACTGACACTAAGTTAATTACACAGAGGACCTCTAGACTCTCAAGGAATGCTCCCAGAAATTGAGAAATACAAGCATAATACATAATATAAATATATAAATTAAGAAATGGAAAGTAAGAAATGCTTTGAGGCATGTACACATTTCTTTTTTCTTGCTTTCTCCTCTCTATTCCAGCAAGAGTCAACTGAAAAATGAGTGGGGACATTCCAAGTTACATTAGGAGTGTTGTAGTCATAAATCAAGATTTAGGGAAAAGAAGAGCTTTATTTACAGATAACAAGGTTTGAAACCACTTTGAAACCACTTTTAAACCTTATATCTGATTAGAGTCAGAAATTTAAGAAAATATTTTAAAATACCACAAAGTCAAAAAATATTTAGAAGTGTTCCTGAACTTCCTTAAACATTGTTTCATGAAACAAAAAAGTTGGGGAATTATTACTAGTGAATTAATAATAGGTTATAGGTAAAAGCAAGATAAATAAATACCGTCTCAAAGACCCATTAAATAAATATATTTTGTCAGACAGAATGAATGTGATATATGTAAAGTACTGGAACAAGAGGTTCTCTTCTGGGATCTAGTTCTGATAATGGCTGGATCACTTATATCAGACCAGCCTTCCAGCAGATAATTATAAACGCTGGATAAAACAACCATTTGAATGCACCTGAAATCTATCAAAATTAAGAGAAAACTGGAGAATATTCAATCCTAGAAAGGAATTTCACTGAGTAAGATTCCTACTTTCATAGTTTTCCATGAAGGCATTCTCCAGTCTGCAAAGCAGCGAATGGCTAGAATGTAAACAGAAAATCAATTTTAATTGGCTTAATGTGTCAAAAGACAAGAGTTTGAGGCTTCTGAGTGGTTGCTCCCTGAACTTCACATGTATATAGATGGCTCCAAAGATTCCAGTAGAATGCAGGGCTATTTATCTGAAAAACCTGGGCAGAAATTTTAGCTAATGACCACTGTAATGAAAAGCAGAATTTGGATTTGAATCCTACCAAGTTAGAGGAGGTAACTTAAATAAATAAGTTAACTTAAATAAATAAATAAATAAGTCCATAAATACCTTGGACTTCCCACTGAAACCTCCAAGGACCCACTATTTAGAAATAAAAACTATATGGCAGTACTAAGGATTCACTCTAGGATTAAGGAAAAAACTGAAGCAGATTCTCCCTAATAATGTAAAATTATGCCTCCACAAGTTCAATGTGATCATCAAGTAATTTAACTGCTTCTAACACAAAATTTAACATTCTTATTAAGGAAGATATTAGAAGCTTGATTCCTTATAATTTATTGCTCAAAAGATATAGTGCATAATAAAAGGTTACTAGTTGTGTAAACAACCAGGAAAATGTGACTCAAAGACAAATAATGATCAACAGAAAAGAGAAAGTGAGATGACTCAGTATAATTGGCAGACAAGGACTTCAAAGTGTACCCGCTATAAATATGTTCAAGGACTCAAGTGAAAAGATCATCATAATGAATGAATAGAATGGAGAAACTCAGCAAAGAAATGAAGCTATAAAAAGAAGTAAATGGAAATTCTAGAACTGAAAAGTATATTTGAGATGAAAATTCACTGAATAGACTTCACAGCAGTTTGGAGTGCAGAAGAAAGGGTTGGGGAATGTGAAGAAATTTTCCAGTCTCAAAAACAGAAAGACAAGAAAGTTGAAAAAATAAAAAGGGACTCAGCAAAAATATGTAGAACAATATTTAGTGTCCTAAAATATGTGCAATTAGAATTCCAGAAAGAGAGCAGAGAGAGGATCATAACGGAAGAATATTTGAAAGAACACTGGCTGAAAATTACCTGAATTTGGAAAGAAACCTTTACTCATAGTTTTCAAGACACTGAGCTAAATGCAGGCAGAATAAATACAAAGAAAATGACACCTAGACACTAGTCAAACTGCTGAAAATGAAAGAAAATGGTACATACAAGGAAACAATAATACAATGATGGCTGATTATTCATTAGGAACAATCAAAGCTGGAAGACTATAGAACATCTTTAGAATGATGAAACAAACAAAAAAGTCAATTCAGAGTTTTGTCCAGTGGACATATGCTTCAAAAATGAATAAGAAGTACATTTTCAGGCAAAAAAAAAATGAGAGAATATATTATCAGCAGACACATACCAAGAGAAATAATTAAGAAAATTATTCATGATGAGAAATTAAATCTGATGAAAACTTGAATATATAGACATGTGAATAAAGTAAAAAATTCTCTTTTTCTGC